AATAGTACATTATACAGCGCAATGCAGAATACGGCCAGCTATAATGTACTATTGCTGGGTTTTGTAGTCCTCTATAGCCGGTGCCATTCTGAATTCATTGCTGTATAATTTTACACTTTTCATTTCCCTATATTACACACCACACTTTTTTTTTCCATTTTACTTCCACCGCTCTAAGCTTGCTCCTGTAATGGACTACAACCTCAATATAAAACTAGTAGTCCATCACTGGAGCCATTTTGTAAAAATTGTATTTTATCCGATTAATCGAACTTAATAAATCGGCTAACTAATCGATTTTGAAAATAATCGTTAGCTGCAGCTCTATTAATTTCATTCCTGATAAACCCAATATCCGTGGATAGGGGTGAGTGCTTCCTTGCAGGTGGTAATGGCTGCAAGAATATCTGTGCCCAAGGGCTGGGCACCTACTGCCTCTGCTGGAGCAGTCCGAGTGCTGACCGACATTCTGTCCAACATGGCCTCATCTGAAGAGGCGCACAGAGGGCCCATCGCGGCTCCCGAACATTTCTGATTGCTCATATATATATTTGAAGGTATCCAAAACATGTTCAGCTGTCCACAATGTGGGAGAGATCAAGAGGAGTGACAGAGAGCTGAAAAAATAGAAGCCGTGCCATGATAACATAAGGATGAAGGTAACAGAGCTCTGCCAGCACACATCTGCCCCAAATCACATCCTAACCACGCCTCCAACTGCTTTATTTTTAGGAATTTCTGAAAGAAACAAACATAATTTCTCAAATATGTTAAGACCCTTTGCATTCAAAGTGAGCAGGGTAGGTATGAATCTGGGCATCTTCCTGAGGGGACAAGAATAAAGCAGACTAACGGAGTCCATCACTCTAAGATAAAAAAAGGTGTGCTAAGGGCCATTCCCCACTGACAGTGTGAAAGGGTAGGGGTATAACAGGAAAATGGAAGAAAAGAGGAGTAGGGAAAGAAAAAAAGAGGTAAGATAGAGATCTATTTCCCTAGCAAGAATCCTCTCAAAATACCCCAAAAGTTTAACGTCCAGATGGAAAGAGTAGAAGGTTTACAACTAAGACCAACAGTTTGGGCTAATAGACTGGTCTTGCTCAGTCGACTGTGTTCTAGACGGCTTACATATGTGTCCACTTTAACTGTAACTATAGAAGTTAAAGAAGAAAACATAACACTACCATCACTACTGAGGGCAACGTAAAATTATGGGAAGTAACGGGTACATTATGTAACCAGGAAAATCAGGTAGTCTGAGATAGCACATGCAGAAATTACAAAGCAAGGAGGATGGATTCTAACCGAGACCACATGGTTTGTGTACGAATCAAGACCCTACAATAAACAAATTCTAATCAAATAATGAATTAGAAAATACATGAAAAAAACATTGACATCAAGTCCAGGCCGCAAAGCATAAATAAAAGAGGATGTTACGCCGGCAAGGTGGGGTGAAGATTAAAAATTGTAGTTTTCTTCAAAAAGTAATTAAGGATGGCACAAGTCTAACCCAAAAGAGACACAATTTTCTTTCCAGGAGCACACCAAGGAGTATATTTCATGTTAATATAAGGCCCCATTCACACCTAGGCGTATTGTAATATGCGCGATCGTCACGCGTTTTTTTTACCGCGATTCGCGGTAAAAAAGTTGCGCGACCGTCACGCGATTCCAAAGGCTACCTGGCTGTATCCCAATGGGAAACGACCTACAAAACGGCCCAAAGTAGTCCCGGGACCTTTTCAGGCGTGGGCCGTTTTGTAGGGCGTTAGGGACGGGCGGAAATACGCCTAGGTGGGAACGAGGGCATTGACTACAATGCCATTTATTTTTTTGACCGTTTTGTAGCGCGTTCGTCGAGCGTAGGACGCGCTACAAAATGGTCAGGTGTGAACGGGGCCTAAGGAAAGAAGACAATAACTGTTTAAGAATAAAAATAAACAGGCACAGACTCAATATCACTTTGTAAACATGGAGACCCTCCTCTTCAGAAAGGAAGCTCAAAGCATCCCAGGAGTAAACGCAAATGATATCATTGAATAGACCCTTTTATCATCCTCATGGAACACAGGAAAATGGTTAAACAAAAATAAAACAGTCGCTGGTAACCAGGGAGGTAGCCCAGAAAAAATACTCGCCAGTCTCGATCAGGAAATCCCTCAAATACAGTAGGCAATGTTAGAGGTTGCCCAGCAATTAAACCTAATAATAATGTATTATTAATATAAACTTAAAATAAGAAATATGCCTAAGCAAAAAACAATAGCATGCCTAAGATATCTATAACGCACATAAGAGCACTGCAATAAAAAGTATAAGGAAGGAATAGGGTTGCTAAATTAGGTCTTAAGTGTGTCTTGCATCTTCAGCCCAAAAAAAAAAAAAAAAAGAGTAAGATAGAGCAAAATGGGGGATGTCTGTTGTCAAACGATGCTCATTTTTCTGTTTCAATATTTTTATTAAAGTTTTGCAGAAAATATACATAGAGAAGTGAAGTGGTTCACGTTGCTCCACCACAGCAGTTTATCAGAAAAACAATATAAACATATCGAATGCAACAATATAGTAAATGAATAGTAGATCAAGTAATAGTAGAGCAAGTAGGGGTCTTATCCTGAAAAGGAGAACTACGGGGTTAAGGCTTTTCCCCATAGTTCTCCTTAGGGTAACGGGAGGACACAAACTAGCGTCCTCCCGTCACCCTAGGCTCAGTATACCGCGAGCTACAGCTCGCGTTATACTGAGACGCCGCAGCTGAAGCGGATCCCGACAATTATGTCTGCATACGCCCAGCTGCGTGAGTGACAGCTGGCTCTGTACCAGTCAGCGCTGGCGGATCGGAGCGGGGAGGGGGGAATCCAGCCCCTCCCCTGTCACGGCAGAGAGTTGTGACAGGATCGAGAGGTGAGCGAAGCGCCGGTATGTGTTCGCTCACCTCCCCAACTACTGAGCCGACCTGTGACAGTCTCATTGTCACAGGTCGGCTCAGATTATGAGGCTGAGTGAAAAGCACTCGCCTCATAGTTCTCCTTTAACGATGTAGTGGCCACCAACTATTCTACTTACCATTCTATGTATATAAAGTTTGGGAACTAATTATGGGGTTAAGGTGATACCACACCCCAAAAAGAAGTATACAATATTAAAACATATGTGAGGGCTTTTTAGGCACTACTACTTTTTTATTGGTACAAAGTTAAAATTAATTTGCATAGTTAAAGCACACACAAAAAAAAAAATCCTTCCTTCACTCATAACCTCCCTTATATAGATACCAGCAATGTTGATTATTTGTTTGATGACCACAGAGTCCAATTAATGTGATATTATGGGTTAGGGATATTATGGTAATGTCATGGTATCAAAAGGGTGCCAACGTGTTTCACGCCCAATATAAGGCCTTTTTCTGGAGGAAGGGAGAGTACTGTTGTGGTCTCCACGGACGCTAGCTGGCGGCATCATGTTCTACTTATCAGGTGGAGCTTAAGAACCCCTGTAAGCCTTAAAGTGACATTAAACCCTCAGATTTTTTAACATAAACCAATACTGTAATGTGTGCCTTACTGTAATCCATGGTTGTTTCCCTTCTCTTTGCTGTTCTTCCTTTTAAATCCTTATGTCTTCTCATGCTTGGGGAGAACTTCCCTTTGCAGCTCAGGGCCTCTTCCTGTAGTGCTGGCTCAGGTTACAAACCTATACACAGACACCATATATCCATTCCTGAGACAAGGCAGTCTGCTGCAAAACAGAAGTTCTGCCCAGCATGAGAACAGATACAGAATTAAAAGGAAGAGCAGCAAAGAGAAGGGAAACTACCATGGATTACAGTAAGGCACACATTACAGTGAGCGCTAAACGCCTTAGGAACTGCAACACCCAAAATTTAGTTAGTTTAGTGTTAGCAATGATTGATGGTCATATAATTATGGCCTACACTCCCAACGGTTGCAGTGATTTGTATCTTGTGCGGCACATTGGGTGCAATCGTTGTTTTTGCACGTAGGCTTTATTGCTATCACATAGGGGGCTAAGAAATGATTGCAAATATACAGTGACAGGTCCTCATTATGGAGACATCAGGCATCTTTTAGACCCTAAATGTCACCTAGGGACCCCCAAAGAAGCTGATGAAGCAGAGATCTGTTTCACTACCTTCTTTTTTGGCTACAGCAGATGTTGAAATGACAGGCTGAAATGTGATGTAATTCAATCAAACCACATCACAAACACATTCAGTGATCAAAGGGGGAGATTCGCCGCTGGAAGTTTTCTGATCTCCATGCAAAGACTCACCGTGCCGGTCCTCGGACGAAACAGGGGTCAGTGGAGCCTGGGATAGACAGCTGAAGGCGGAACTGATGCAATACACATCACTTCCACATTCAGAGATCAGAGGGAAAAAATCAGCAGGAGGACATGTGTTGGTCACCCTCCGATCTTTATTCAGAGAGCCACCGTGCCAGTCCAGGGCCCGCATGGGGGACAGTGGAGCCTGGGACAGGCAGTGGTGGAGGTGTTACACACTTGCACACAATATACAAGCGACCGGGCGGCTCTATAGCCACCTAAACACTTGTATGTAAACAGCCATCACCGCCTGTGTAAAATGTGAAAAGTTTCCCATTTCTGCGCACCACCCTGCGGTTTAAAACACCCACCAGCATTTAAGTGTTCCATCCGGCCGTTCAATTACAACAGTTGGACAGGAAGTGGTTAAGCAATACTAATATAAATAAAAAGCAATAGCAAAAAAAGCAATGTAAGAATTGAAAAAAATATAGCAGGGGATTTTTAAAAACTGGAGTGGACACAATCTGGAGCAGTTGCCCATAGCAACCAATCAGCTTCTCTTCAGTCTTTAGTGAAGCTTTCAAAATGAACGCTAGATTGGTTGCCATGGGTAACTGATTCAGATTCTGTCTACTAACATTTTGGTAAATTCTCCACAATAGAATTGTATGTTAATATTGAAAGCAGACTGCATCCAATAAACTTACGTCTCATGGGTCCCATAAAAAAATATAGCATACTTGTTTGGAGGCGGTTTCACTGCTCCATCTCTGATATCATCAATCTAAAAAAAAAAACAAAAAAAAACACATCATTAACCATACATCTGAAAAAATAAAACAAGAACATATAAGCAACTGTATACATTTTGTTTTACAACCTCTTAACTCTTTTTTAGAATTAACCATTAATAGCCCACATATAACAAAAACACAGCACCTGGCAATTAACCTCTCACTAGGTCATAGGCCGGGATTTGTAGTACTGGAATTAAACCAGCAATAGAGACTTCGTAAACATTTTCACGTGAATGCCCAGACACCCACCCCAAGGACTAAACCCGCGGTCTTTCTAGGCCATTCCTGATCAGCCCGCGTTACCTATCAGATTTCCTAACCCTACCATAAGTAAAGTGGATCTAACCCGTGCCGGCCAGTGAGGATAGCCCTTCATCTTGGCGAACACCAGATCCCCCGGCTTAAAATTCACTGGCATATTGGGCTATTAGCAACTACCACTCTTGTAGCCACACTAAGCGTTAATGTCTCCTCAGCGGAAGTACCACCTCCTCTGATTCAATTCGGTCTCAGCCCTGTCAGTCTCGCACTTGTCCTCTGACTGTGCTGCTCGGTAAACGGAACTCGGCGAAGCGACTTCCGTGTTTTGGTTTTGATTGTTGCGTTTTTGTCTTGTGGTCAGGTAAGCCAGCGTTTGTCCACAATAATCATGCTCAGAGGGTGTGATATATCGCTTTGTCAACCGTTTTTTGTTTACTTTGCTAATGGTTGTCTGTTTTCTTTTTCATTAAACATAGGAACCCAGGTCGTCCTGTACCCTCGCAGTTATGAAAAAGCTGTTTCAGGGCGTTAAAACTGACCTGACATTTAAGTCTGCAGGACCCGGCCGCCGGTTGAACGAGGAGAAGAGGTAGTCTCTAAATATTAAAATGCATTTTCGTTCTATATTGTTTTCCTGGTCCTATATGTCATTTTTCAGTGATTGGAACAAGAAGAATTTGACAGAAAACTAAATAATGTCCAGTATCTCAGACCACAGCCATATTTGCAGGCCTGAACTAGATTTTAGTTTTGGGGAAGTGGCATCACTTACGGCCCCAGTATCACTTCCATGATAAACAGTCCCCATTCACACCTAGGCGTCAGCGTTTCCTTGCATTTTACGCACGGTTTCCTTTGCGCGTTTTTACGTGCTTATTGCGCGTTCCCCTAAATAGATGCGCATTTTGGACGTGTTTCTGTAGATGAGTGTTGTCCAATGAAAAGAAGTCCTGCCCATGACATAATAAACTCCTACACATTAGCCAAAGGGTTAACAACGACAGCCTTTCAGCAGCTGTGGAACTACAGCTTTATAAAATCACCAGGAACGGTCCTGGTTTGACGCTATGTAGCAGGAATCAACACTATGTGACTTTGGAAACCTGTAAAATGTCCCATAAACCGGCTCTAAACGACATGCGAAATCCCACTTGATGAATACCGAACGGTATCTGTATCGTATTCACATTTCTACGCTCGCACTCCATATACAAACAATGAGATTAATAAGAGCCCGCAGCCATTGGCGCCGAGCGCGGCCTACGCACGCTCCTGAAGCCCTCCAGCGGCTCTACAGTACACAGAGCTGCTAGGCCCGGGCTCTCCGTCGGCTGGGCCTTCATTAGAGGCTGCAGTGCACAGCGAGTGTGATGCATATAAAAGTCTGTACACAGAGAAAAGAAACAGGCATGACACCCAGAGGTAGCTGTATATTGGGATTTGTAGTTCCACAACACATTGAGATCTGCAGCTGCACATACCTACAATAGCCACACAAGCAAGCAGAAACATAAGCTACAACAGTATCACAACTTTAGATGCACCAAATGTCACATGCACATGTCTTACCTTTGCTGTTCTTCAGAGATGAGGGAAAGATTCCCGTTCTGGCCAAATCTGGCAAGCAATTTGCATGGTTGTGCCTGTATTAGCCTTATAAATGCCTCAGAATCAACATTTTGCAGACATGAATCAGCCATTTTGTTTCCCAGTGTGCTTTTCAGGTGGTCTTCCACAATGTATATGCGCCTTAACCACTTGCCGTCCGCCCGTTGCAAAAAAATGGACGGCAAAGTCACATTGGTGGGTTGCCGTAACTAGACGGCATTTTTTTTCTGCTCGCGCGTGCCCCCTAGCACACGGGCAGAAAAAAACGGGTCCGATGTAAAGAGCCGTTACCGGCTGTTTCACATACACACGATCGGCGGCTCTATAGCCTGCCAATCGTGTGTATGTGCTGGCTGCGTGCCCCCACCCCTTTTCTGACGCTCACCTTCAATCCTGGGATCCGCTATCCCATCTGCGGCTCGAGAGGTAAGCTGGGAGGGAGTTCAGCATTTTCCTCCTTGCTGAACTCCCTCTGTGCTGTGAATGCGGAAGTGATGAGTAATACATCACTTCCGCATTCACCTGTCAGTCATCTGGCTGCTATAGCCAGAGAGAAGAAGCTGATGAAGCAGATCTGTGCTTCATCAGCTTCTTTTGGGGTCCCCAGGTGACATTAGGGGTCCTAGAGACCCCTAATATCTCCATAAAGAGGACTTGTCAGTGTGACTTTGCTATTATATAGGGGGATTGTTATCCCCCTATGTAATAGCAATGACATTAAGTTTAAAAAAAATTGTTAAAAATAGAAATATAAAAAAAGTTAAAAAAAAAAAAAAATGTTTTAAGTCCCCCACCCCCACATTTACGCACATAAACGTAAATACGCATCCGTTGCACTAGCACACAAAAACGACAATTGTGCTACACACTGTGATCGCCCGCAGCGGTATTGCAGCAGGAAAACGCGCAATCTGTAAAATAGTGACAAAACAACTTGCCCGGCGCCCGGAACTACATGTTCCGGGCGTCGGGCATTACGAATTCCACACCCCTGCTCTCTCGCTCTCGTTCTTGCTCTCTCTCGTTCGCTTTCTCTCTCGTTCGCTTTCTCTCTCGTTCGCATTCTCTCTCGTTCTCTCTTTCTCTCTCGCTCTCTTTCTCTCTCGTTTAAAGTAAGCTTTATTGGCAGGACCAAATGCATTTTTGCATTGCCAGAGCATATGGGGAGGTTATATGGGGTGGGGGTAGTGGGACATTATTAGGGGTTAAGAAAAAAAACCCAGCCCTGCTACTTGTCCGTAGCAGGGCTAAAATAGTGACAAAACAACTTGCCCGGCGGCCGGAACTACATGTTCCAGGCGTCGGGCGATACGAATTCCACACCCCTGCTCTCTCGCTCTCGTTCTTGCTCTCTCTCTCGCTCTTTCTCTCATTCGCTTTCTCTCTCGTTCGCTTTCTCTCTCGTTCGCTTTCTCTCTCGTTCGCATTCTCTCTCGTTCTCTCTTTCTCTCTCGCTCTCTTTCTCTCTCGCTCTCTCGTTCTCTCTTTCTCTCTCGTTCTCTCTTTCTCTCTCTTTCTCTCTCGTTCTCTCTTTCTCTCTCGTTCTCTCTTTCTCTCTCGTTCTCTCTTTCTCTCTCGTTCGTTCTCTCTCTCTCGTTCGTTCTCTCTCTCTCGTTCGTTTTCTCTCTCTCTCGTTCGTTTTCTCTCTCTCTCGTTCGTTCTCTCTCTCTCTCTCGTTCTCTCTCTCTCGCTCGTTCTCTCTCTCTCTCGCTCGTTCTCTCTCTCTCTCGCTCGTTCTCTCTCTCTCTCGCTCGTTCTCTCGCTCGTTCTCTCTCTCGCTCGCTCGTTCTCTCGCTCGCTCGTTCTCTCTCTCTCTCGCTCGTTCTCTCGCTCGTTCTCTCTCTCGCTCGCTCGTTCTCTCGCTCGCTCGTTCTCTCTCTCTCTCGCTCGTTCTCTCGCTCGTTCTCTCTCTCGCTCGCTCGTTCTCTCGCTCGCTCGTTCTCTCTCTCTCTCGCTCGTTCTCTCGCTCGTTCTCTCTCTCGCTCGCTCGTTCTCTCGCTCGCTCGTTCTCTCTCTCTCTCGCTCGTTCTCTCGCTCGTTCTCTCTCTCGCTCGCTCGTTCTCTCGCTCGCTCGTTCTCTCTCTCTCTCGCTCGTTCTCTCGCTCGTTCTCTCTCTCGCTCGCTCGTTCTCTCGCTCGCTCGTTCTCTCTCTCTCTCGCTCGTTCTCTCGCTCGTTCTCTCTCTCGCTCGCTCGTTCTCTCGCTCGCTCGTTCTCTCTCTCTCTCGCTCGTTCTCTCGCTCGTTCTCTCTCTCGCTCGCTCGTTCTCTCGCTCGCTCGTTCTCTCTCTCTCTCGCTCGTTCTCTCGCTCGTTCTCTCTCTCGCTCGCTCGTTCTCTCGCTCGCTCGTTCTCTCTCTCTCTCGCTCGTTCTCTCGCTCGTTCTCTCTCTCGCTCGCTCGTTCTCTCGCTCGCTCGTTCTCTCTCTCTCTCGCTCGTTCTCTCGCTCGTTCTCTCTCTCGCTCGCTCGTTCTCTCGCTCGCTCGTTCTCTCTCTCTCTCGCTCGTTCTCTCGCTCGTTCTCTCTCTCGCTCGCTCGTTCTCTCGCTCGCTCGTTCTCTCTCTCTCTCGCTCGTTCTCTCGCTCGTTCTCTCTCTCGCTCGCTCGTTCTCTCGCTCGCTCGTTCTCTCTCTCTCTCGCTCGTTCTCTCGCTCGTTCTCTCTCTCGCTCGCTCGTTCTCTCGCTCGCTCGTTCTCTCTCTCTCTCGCTCGTTCTCTCGCTCGTTCTCTCTCTCGCTCGCTCGTTCTCTCGCTCGCTCGTTCTCTCTCTCTCTCGCTCGTTCTCTCGCTCGTTCTCTCTCTCGCTCGCTCGTTCTCTCGCTCGCTCGTTCTCTCTCTCTCTCGCTCGTTCTCTCGCTCGTTCTCTCTCTCGCTCGCTCGTTCTCTCGCTCGCTCGTTCTCTCTCTCTCTCGCTCGTTCTCTCGCTCGTTCTCTCTCTCGCTCGCTCGTTCTCTCGCTCGCTCGTTCTCTCTCTCTCTCGCTCGTTCTCTCGCTCGTTCTCTCTCTCGCTCGCTCGTTCTCTCGCTCGCTCGTTCTCTCTCTCTCTCGCTCGTTCTCTCGCTCGTTCTCTCTCTCGCTCGCTCGTTCTCTCGCTCGCTCGTTCTCTCTCTCTCTCGCTCGTTCTCTCGCTCGTTCTCTCTCTCGCTCGCTCGTTCTCTCGCTCGCTCGTTCTCTCTCTCTCTCGCTCGTTCTCTCGCTCGTTCTCTCTCTCGCTCGCTCGTTCTCTCGCTCGCTCGTTCTCTCTCTCTCTCGCTCGTTCTCTCGCTCGTTCTCTCTCTCGCTCGCTCGTTCTCTCGCTCGCTCGTTCTCTCTCTCTCTCGCTCGTTCTCTCGCTCGTTCTCTCTCTCGCTCGCTCGTTCTCTCGCTCGCTCGTTCTCTCTCTCTCTCGCTCGTTCTCTCGCTCGTTCTCTCTCTCGCTCGCTCGTTCTCTCGCTCGCTCGTTCTCTCTCTCTCTCGCTCGTTCTCTCGCTCGTTCTCTCTCTCGCTCGCTCGTTCTCTCGCTCGCTCGTTCTCTCTCTCTCTCGCTCGTTCTCTCGCTCGTTCTCTCTCTCGCTCGCTCGTTCTCTCGCTCGCTCGTTCTCTCTCTCTCTCGCTCGTTCTCT